CACACACACACACACAAAGATTCTTTAAGTGTCACACTCTTAAAGCTTTTGTTCTTGCCGCCTGAGCTCTTCATTAACTCGTTAATACACAGTTTTGTCCCTTTTTCCGCCTTTAAGGAACTTTAGGTTGGAATAATCACTGTGTGACAGTATCATATATGTTCTATATCCAACAAGTCCGCCAAATGTAATGACAAAATCCATTGTTTGTCCATGCTCTCTAGAATGACACGTTTTCTGACATAATTAGTGACTTCCAAATCTGTTACAAACCACTGTCTGTCTGGTAAATAAGAAGCTATAGCCAGCAGCTGGTTAGCTTAGCTTAGCACAAAGACTGGAAAAAGTCTGGCTCTGTCTGACAGCAAAAAAAATCTCTCTACCAGCACCTCTAAAGCTCACAAATTAACATGTTATATGTTGCGTGTTTAGTATGTACATATAAATAAGTGTGCAATTTGCCTTTTTTTGTCTTTAATTAGACATAAAACAGCTTTTAAAAGCTACACTGAATCCAAGTTTGTCGCTATTTTTAATGAATGTAGCCAGTTTGCTGGCTATGTAGGAAGACAATGTCCTCATTCTTAAACCTGCCTATTCAGATCAATTGGTTAGTGTTTCTCCACTATGGCATGTGGAAAGTAAGATATTCCCATTGGTATTCCTGATGATGGCAACACTGTCTAGTGTCACACCTTAAATGTGGAACAGAGCAATGAAACCAGGCTATAATTGTATACATTTCATCCTGAATCTTATCTACAGTAGGTATAACTTCATGCTGATGTAAGAAAGTAGTCTTTTGTTGTCCAGTAAGTGGTGTAGTGCAGTTCACTTGTTACAGCACCTCAGTCTGTCTTATTAGATCATCAGAGTCCATAAATCATGAGCAGATTTCTGGCCAATTACTACCGGTAAGAAGCCTATTCCCTTTGCCGAGGATAATTTCCTCTGTGTGAAAGTCACAATCCTGATTAACTCTGTAATATTGATTTTCCCTTTCCCAGATTTATGAGGTTTCCAGATTCACAGACGGTATTCCCTCGGGCCGCAGCAGTCTAGCTCGCAGTGCCAGGACAAGTCCAGGAATTTCTGACTCTTGCTGGCCAGAAATCTGACTGAAGCACCAGTTTCAGCTTATATAAGAGCAGGGATCCCTCAGAATTGGCCCCGAGAGCGCATCCAGGAAAACAAGGAGCGTCTTCGCCATTCCAGCAGACTAAACAACAGCGACACAAAAATAACTACAGCTGCTACGTCAACAACAACAACAACAACAACAGCCGCAGCTAATGATAGAGCAGGGTGGCACCACAGCCATAGCAAAATCCCAGGAAAAGTATTTACGATAGGAGATAATGTCAGTATTCAACTATGCAGTGAATTGGTATTCACATTAACGGATGCCGATAAACGACAAGAAGCCAAAGGAGGAGCAGAGAGGGGGCGAAAGAGCAGAAAAACAGGTGGTTTACAGGAATTATAACTTTCATTTCCTGTCAGTGAATATTATTTGGCTGTGGAGATTGTAGATAGATATTCCTTTACATGTCAAAACTCCATGAAGCAATACGTTGTTGATCTCTACAGAGTTTTTTCTTTTTTACACAAAAATATATATATTGAGATTTTTTGTTTGTGTAACATACAATAGATCTGAGATAAGTGTGAGACTGAAAAGAAAATACTGTGTTTCATTTCATGTATTTGTGTGTGTGTGTGTGTGTGTGGTGTGTGTGTGTGTCGTGTGTTGTGTGAGTGTGTGTGTGTGCAAAGAACAGCACGCCGGTGTGTGTGTGTGTATGCAGAGTTACTGTGTGTGAGCATGTGTGGCGGATATACGGAGGAAGCTGTGTTTGGCCTCTGATTAAAATGCAGGACGAGGGTCCCGCTCCAGGAAAAGGAGACCAGCAGAGTGGAGACAGAGGGACTTTTCTCCCATTAGGGAAACACGTGACACATACTAAAATAACATATATACTCATACTATATTTACAATAATGACAATAAAAAAATCTTTATTCCTTCTAAAATGCGTAGTAATGTGTGTTAAATGTGCACACAGACTTTTAAGGCCAAAAGAGTAGATTAAAAATGTATTTAAATTACACATTCACTCAAATCTGGCACTTATATTTCCACATGTTTTTTGAAGTAACCAAACATAACAGCAGTTAAAATATATATCAGAGAACGTCTATCCTTGACTTTATGAATACTTTATCATGAGGTAATCATCAGCAGAAGCAAAATATTCTCACCAACTTCACTATTAAAAATACTGGAACCATACGTGGCGTACAAGAGAGACCTTAGACCAAAAATATATAAATTCTCACGCAAAATATATAAAGTCTCATCCAACATACAACCAGCATACAAGAAACCGTCCACAATTTAAAAAAATAACGAGTCAGATGAAAGAAACCATCATGCCATAAATGTTAAAGATTAAAGTCACAGATGACAACAAATGAGTCCATCCCATTTTATCCGTGAATCTGTGTCCCTCAGAAGCTGGGTGCTCCAGTTAGAGCTCCCAGAATGAGGACAGACCACAGAGGAGAACACACGTGTATGTGCACACGCACACAAACCAAACACTTGGGTAAGAGTGTGAGGCTGTTATTAGTATTATGAAAATGACACTATAAAATAACTATGTCTCAGGTAAAAAAAAAAGAACTGACCAAGTTGATTTCTGTTGTATCCAGTATTCATTATCAAACCTTCCCTGTGAAGGTAGGTCACATCTGTTAAAGCTGTGATACCTCTAAGTCTAAGAAAGAGACTAAGAAAGAAAAACACTCCTAAATCAGGTTAATGTGTCCCTTAAAATTAAATTTGTAGACAAGACATAACAAACACACCTACAAATGTTGATTATGCTCTCAGATACACAAAGCTGAATTGTCCAGCACTGACTCCCAAGCTTAAACCCAAACCGTTAGTCATGGCTCCTAATTAGACGAGTGGGCAAAGGTTATTAGAGTTAATTGAAAGTTTGGACCGGGTAATTGGAGGTCAGGCTGGGTTTGGTGGGATCGACCTCTGCAATTATGATTCAATAAAGAGCTTTTAAGAAGGAATAAACACTCTGACATCTGAACATGTTGTGAGAGCAGAACCATTTACTGAAAATGTAACCAGTTTGCACATCAAAAACTGAAAGCAATGCTCAACATGACCTAGTACAGTGCCATACAAAGACAATGACAACCTGTCACTCACCTCAGAGAGACCATCCCCACAATTAGCCCTTCCTCAGCCGCTGGTATCCCAGTATCCTATCAGAGGTTAGATCCATGTCCAGGCATTTGAAAGGTTTCACACTACATGTACAGTCTTAGGAACGCTGACTGACTTAAAGAGGTACCTAGGGCTTGTGTCAAGGCGGCCCGGTCCGTGGTCCACCCCTCTATGAGGTCAGTTCAGAAAGAGAGAGAGAGACACTTGGAGGAAAGACGGAGAGAGAGAGAGAGAAGGGGGAACAGATGGAA